AATATAAATACTCCTGAACACTATCAGTATAAATACTCCTGAATACTCGTTGTTTGACCACTAAGGTCACGTCTGACACTGTGAAACATTTCTGGAGGTTTATATTAAAAAAGATCGATTAATATTCAGACACATAGAGACAGACAGGTACCTGTCTCACTGCTCAGCAGCTCCAGTTCAGCGTGTGTTGCAGACAGACTCTGTTCCAGCTGCTCGACCTGTCGCTGGACCCTGTCTCTCTCTGCTGACAGAGAGACAGACATGTCTGCACACCCACGCACACCCACCCACACACACACACACCCACACGCACACACAGAGACAGACAGACGTTTGTATGATTAAAAAGTACTGTGATGAAAATATACATTTGTGTTTTTAACATTTATCCGATGAAATAGAAGACACATGAAGTAGTACTTTAACCGAGACACACTGTAGAGTAGAAATACAGTACTACAAGTACTACTACTGTAGTAGCTGACAGTAGTGTGACCGAGCGTCTTGGGTTGGTGTATCAGGGCATGTATCAAACAGGACGAAGTGGAGTCGGGAGACCAGACATCTTGTTCAGCCCACGGCTACTCTCTTTCTCGACCCTCGACCCTGTAGGGGCCCTTCCAGTGAGGCACCAGTTTGGTGCGACTCTCAGTCGGGTTGTTAAGCCATACTAACGCGCCCTCTCCATAAGGACGATGGCAAACATCCTCATCGTGATACAGTTTCTGTCTCTCATGAGCTTCTGTAGCATGAGGCCTCACTGCACTGAAGGCTTTTTCCAGCCTCCCCACCAGGGCTGGCACATACTCGAGCAGGACTCCAGAGCCCTGAGAAATCTCGACTCTGTTAGAAATCAGAACATCAGCTGGAACACGTGCCTCGCGCCCGTGCATGAGGAAGAAAGGGGTAAAATGAGTGCTGGCATGTCTGGATGTGTTGTAGGCAAACGCCACATGCTTCACATAATCATCCCATTCACCTCCATGCGAGAGCAGCATCTTCGCCAGCTGATCAATCAGAGTCCGGTTATGACGCTCCACCATACCGTCTGATTTGGGGTTGTAGGCGGTAGTGCGTGTCTTTTTGATACCTAACAACTTGCAGAGGCTCTGAATCACCTCTGCCTCAAATTGTCGGCCTTGGTAGCTGTGCAGGACTTCAGGGATCCCATGCACCAGCACATAGTCATCAAACAGGCAGCGAGCCACTGTGTGAGCAGTCTGATTGGGCAGCACATACAGGTTAACAAATTTGGTGAAATAGTCATCCACAACCAATATATATCTGTTCCCCTTGAAGTTACGGGCAGCTCGAGGATATCTGCAGCCACCCGCTGTAGAGGGCGACTAACCTGGGACCCTCCCATGGGAGCCCTCTGCCTGGGGACTGGGGCCCTGCGGGTTTGGCAGGCTCTGCACTGTTCACACCATTGTCTAATGTCTCTCAACATGAAGGGCCAATAGTAGGTCTGCCTGGCCTTCTCCCAAACTCGCTGTGCGGAAAAGTGTGCAGCAGCTGGGCCCCCATGCAGCTGCTGAAGAAGCTCGGGCACCAGTAGATGAGAGATCACCACCTGAACGTGCCTCTCCCCTGCCGGAGAGTATAGTCCTGCACAACAAACCATCAATGACGGACAGATGGTTGAATTCAGTCCACAGTTTCCTGAGGCAGAGTGAGGACCCCCTCAGGTGTCTGCGAGGTGATCCCACCGCTGCCACCAATGTGACCGAGCGGCTTGGGTTCGTGTATGAGGGCACTTATCACATAGTAATAACTAGAGTCGGGAGACCAGACATCTTGTTCAGCCCACAGCTACTCTCTTTTATTTTTGTTTCCCCCCTTCGACCAGAGGCGGGAGTTGCCCCTTCTCTACGGCAACCCTCAAGGGACATATCATCTTCAACACCAAAATGACAAACATGAGACAGTCTGTTACAGTAGTACTACACCTGGTAGTACAGTACTGCTACTACTGTAGTAACTGCTGAGTACAAAGAGTACAGCTGACGATAGTAGCACAGCACTACTGTAGCAATTGACAGTAGTACTACTACTACTAGATTGACTGTACTACTACTGTCAATGTAGTAGAAGTAGTAGTACAGTAACTGTATTAGTACCACTGCAGTAACTGTAGTAGTAGTACTGCTGAGTGTAGTAGTGCAGTACCAGTAGTACAACTAATACAGTTACTCAGAGTACTGTAGTAATTCAGAGTACTACTACAGTTACACAGACAGCCTGTGATGCTAACATAAAGAGTAATAGTTAGAATCTTTCTGACCGTCAGCGGCTTCCGTCTCTTCTCCTTATCGCCGTTTCTTCATTAAAGTCTGTTTGTCCTTACTTTGTCTTTATTATTGTGTCTTTACTTTCTGCCTCCACGCGCCACGGAGCTCCAATCAACGCAGCGCTGTCGTTAACATATTACCCAGCAGGCTGTGCGGCAGGACGACTTACTCCTCGAGTTTCACTGTTCAGATGTTAATTCCGGTTTTAATGTTTCCGGTTAACAGACCGGTGTTGTGTTTTCTGCCGGTGACGGGGACTATATTTACACCGAGAATCACACGCAACACGAAACAAACCGCGCATCAACGGGTCCGCTCTTTATTTTCTTCCCGACTATTTCACTTCCGGTCCTTTCCTGTTTGGTTCCGCTCGGTCATTTTTCTCTTAAAGTTACCAAAGTATCTGTTTAAATACTTTAAATAAGAAAAAAACTACTCGTTTTACTTTGATCCATATGAAGAAATATTCGGAGGCTGCATTCGTAGACCGGTTGCGTCACAGTTTCTGTTGAAGAGTCCTTCAATGCAGAATGCAGCCTTCTGGTCCCAGAGTTGGAGGACACATCTGATGTATCCTTCGCGGCCCAGCATATCCCAAGATGCATTGCGTGCCGGTGCGCTATTACCGGCAGCTCGGCTGCCTGCATCCGACCGTAGTAAGCCTTGTAAAGTAACTTTTAATAACTTCACTTTCAAACCTCAGAGGTTGAATAATATCTCACTGAGTTTGTGATGATTTTACAGATGATTTATACTTCATATCATGTACATAAACGGACCAACGTGAGCTCAGGCAGACAGGTTGTGAACCTGAAATATCACTTTAAGTCCGGTAACGTTTCAAACGTTGAGATGAACTACACGAATACACTGAATTTGAGTATTTTGCTGATTGTGTTCTTGTTTTGTTACAGAGAGCAGGAGCTGAGGGGAGAGCGATGGACAAACATTCAGCAGCCGTAGCTTTGAATTAAGACATTAGTCCATTTGTAATATCTCCATGTGACCATCCTGTACTGAAGGTTACAGTTACATGAGCTCTCATCCTGTACAAAGCCTTCACTAACAACACAACCAGTAGATCCTTCTCATGTGTTCATGTTGCTGTCACAGAGAGGACAGTTGTGATGTCACCTTTTTATTTATTTAAATTGACATAAGACGTCCATGTAAATGATTTCTATGTGAATATGTGTATGTTCTGCTGTGTAAAATGTGTCAATTTTCTAAGTTTGCATCCCTGTGTGAACATTATTGATAAATGTTTCTCTTTTCATCAACTTATTTAAAAAATATAAAGTATATGCACATGTGTTACTGAGAGTTAATGAACACGTTTGCTGACATTTGTTTTGCTGCTGTTAATGTTAACTGTCTTGATTGATTTCCTCTGCCTTAGGATTGCTATATATATATATATATACACACACACTATAAATGTATATATATACACACTATAAATATATATATACACACTATAAATATATATATATATAATCCTGTTGAGCAGGGATTTTATATATATATATATATATATATACATATATACACTATAAATGTATATATATACACACTATATATATATATAGTGTGTATATATATACACACTATATATATATATATATTTATAATCCTGTTAAGCAGGGATTTTAGGGACGGGAGCAGCAAGAGGGGGGCGGGGCGGGAACAGCTGTTGACGCAAACAGGAAGTCCTCTGTAGGGTAGGCTGTCTCATTTCGTAGACCGCATGGTCTAGCCTTCGCGGTCCTCAAAGGACACGGCCCACGTAGACCGCGAAGGCTGGGTCCTCCGAAGGATGCAGCTCCTGAATTGAGACAGCTCATGTTGGATAACCCGGACCACCCTCTCCACCACCTCCTGCAGGGACAGACTGATCCAGATACAGGATCCCTGTCTCATTCCGGATTGACTACAAAGTCCTACTACTCACACATAAATGCATAAATGGACACGCACCTCCCTACCTACAAGAACTCATCACTCCCCAAATCTCCACCCGTACCCTCAGATCTTCAAACAACTCGCTCCTCCGGATCCCCAACACCAAGCTCCGCACCATGGGCGACCGGGCCTTTGGCTCGGCAGCTCCACGCCTATGGAACAGTCTCCCTGACCACCTAAGGGCAACACAGACACTGGTCTCTTTAAGACTGGCCTAAAAACCTTTCTATTCAGGAAGGCCTTTCTGACATAAATCACTGTCAGTTATTTCTTTTGTGTTTCTGTTCATTCACTGGTTTTTTTATGCTTACTAGTTATTCTATTATAGTTTGTTTTAACTATGTTTAACTATCTACTGGCTCTGTGGCACTCTGAGATTTTTTAATGAAAAGTGCGTTACAAATAGAATGCATTATTATTATTATTATGAGAACATTCCTGCAATATAATAAATCACCTCTGAACAGATCATCCTCCACATGACTACACTGTTTGCTGGTGATTGATGTTTGCACTGTTTTTTACCTAGTTACTTCATTTAACACTATTCTATTTCATTGTATATACTGTGCATTTTTGTTATTTTATCTTCCATATTCTAATATTTAATTTGTCCTACTCTGTTATTTTATTGTATATATTGTGCATTTTTTAGAACTTAATATTTTGGTTACTCTGGTACTTTGCTTACTTTGTATGTCTTGCTGCTGTAACATACAAATTTCCCCCTGGGGATGAATAAAGTATACATCTATCTCATCATCATCATTTCCCTTTATGCCTCCTGCATGTAGGGCAGCAACAAAAGTCTTCCACCCCTGTCTGTCCCGGGTGAGTCTCTGGATGGTGCCCCATGAGTGGTTCAGGCTCTGCATCTCCTCCACAGTTCTTCTCCGTGTGTTTCTTGGTCGGCCTCTTTTTCTTTTCCCTTCTGGTGTCCAATGTAAGGCTGTTCTTGTAATATCAGCAGGGTCTTTTCTCAACACATGTCCTATCCCCATCTTCTTCTCATTAGGATGGCCTCCATGCATTCTTGTTGACATTTGTCATACAGTTCTTTATTTGAAATGGTTTTTGGCCAGAAAATGTGCAGTATTCATCTTAAACTCTGGTGTGGAAGGTTGATAGTCTGTTGAGGTCTTCTTGTGTCATTCTCCAGCATTCAGAACCGTACAATAGGTTTTATATCAATATCATATATTATTATAATAGAACAATAGGGTGGATAAAACACAGCTCTGATACATTTGAGTTTGGTCTTGATGGTGTCCTGCTGTGACCTCCATGTGTTATTCAGTACTCTGAAAGCGTTCCTTGCCTTATTAAGACGATTCTTGATGTCTTTATCTGTGCCCCCATCGTGTCTGACAGTGCTGCCCAAATATGTGAACTTGTCAGTTTTAGGGAGATCTTCTCCATTAAGCTGAATTGGTGAGGGATTGGGAATGTTCAGAGTCATCACTTCTGTTTTCTTTTTGCTGATCTTCAGGCCAATCTTCTGACCAAAATCACTGAGGCGGGATGTTTTCTCCTGTATGTGCCGATGAGTATGTGAAAGAAGAGAGAGATCATCTGCATAGTCGAGATCTTCAAGTGATGAAGAGTGTCCATCGAATGCCTCTATTTTGGTCTTCATCTATCAATCTATATATTAACTGATTGAACCTGTAGAAACTTCCTGTAACCATGTTTTTAAAAATATTATTAAGAAATAAAACATGAAGACAAATATAGAAAATGTTTGTCAGCGTTTGTAGAAGAAACTAAAAAGTTTGAATCAGATTCACCGTATTTTACTGCATCTTAAAATAAGAATAATGAATAATAACCAACAATCAGAGTCAAACTTTATATTATTTTGTGATTCTTCAAACCAGCTGCTCCTGATTCATCAGATCCAGTCTGAACAAAGACCACCATGCAGAGTTTGCTGGTCTTGGATCAGGTCTACAGCTGCTCAGTAGCTTGTTTCATCATCTTCACAATAAACCACATTTTAATATTTCAAAATAAAAGAACAAGCTTTTATTTTGATTTAGAAAATGAAAAGTGTTTAATTCCACCAGACTTAATTATACACATTTCAAACAGGAAGAGATGCATGTGATGTCACACTCCTCCCTTTGTGCATTGCATTGTGGGAGAATCTTGTGCTGTTTGAATTGTGACTCTTGATTCAGAGGACTGAAGCTCCTCCTCCAACATGACATCATCTCTGACATCACACAAACACCTTCAGGAAGTCCCTCTCTCTGCCTGTCTAGCGGCGGCGGTACAGGATGTCCCAGGAGTGTCTCCACTTGAGTGCTTGCAGTTGATTGACTGATAGCTCAGGTGTCCCGTAGGTCAGAGGGCTGAAGGTTCGGTAGGACAGGAAGACGGACGTCAAGACGGCCGACACGCACACACACAGCACACGGCGGTGTGTCGCTCTGCTGCGCACACACACACACACATCAACTTTACTGACTAATGCACCGACAGTAACGCAGAATAGATAGTGTGTGAGGGCACACAGGTGTGTGAGTGCGTTTGTGTGTGTGTGTGTGGTTACCTGAGCAAGTGTGTGTGTGTGTGCTCCAGCAGGGCGGGGCTCAGCAGGTGCAGGT